AAGTGTAGAAATCGGATGACATACATTTTTTTCCGGATTTCATCGTTCTAGGGTGTGTACTACAACAACAAACTTTTTTTTTACAAAAAATTTTACTATGGCCGTGTATATAAAATGATATATAACTGCTATCGGACGATCTTGTGCACGATAAAAACCTATGTAGAACTTTAAGTTGGAAGTGTAGAAATCGGATGGTATACATTTTTTCCGGATTTCATCGTTCTAGGGTTTGTACTACAACAACAAACTTTTTTTTACATAGTTTTATTATGGAAATATATAGAAAATTATATATAACTTTAAGTTGGAAGTGTAGAAATCGGATGGCATATATTTTTTTTCCTGATTTCATCGTGCTAGGGTGTGTACTACAACAACAAACTTTTTTTTACAAAAAGTTTTATTATGGAAGTATATAGAAAATTATATATAACTGCTATCGGACGATCTTGTGCACGATAAAAACCTATATAGAACTTTAAGTTGGAAATATACAAATCGGATGGCATAGTTTGTTTTGTGGATTTCATCGTTCTAGGGTGTGTACTACAGCAACAAACTTTTTTTTACAAAAAATGTGACTATATCCGTATATAGAAAATTATATATAACAGCTATCGGAAGATCTTGTGCACGATAAAAACATATATAGAACTTTAAGTTGGAAGTGTAGAAATCGGATGGCATAATCTCTTTGAGATTTTAGGTAGGGTCAACTGTGGACCGACCCTTACAAAATTCAACAGATAAATTTTGTTTCATATAAAAGTTGTTGTCGAATTTTATAGCTATTTTTTTAAGCCAGTTATGAGTGGTAGTAATTTCCCGAGGTGGACCTTATATCGGGGATAGGTTAAATTATGGACCGATCCCTTAAATTTGACAAAACGATGTTGACTCCTTGTTTATGTGGAATTTCTTTGCTATATTGGTATTTTTATTACAATTATTGGAGTTAATATCTTTTTCTGAAGGGGAACTTATATGGGGGTAGGGTCAATTTTGAACCAACCCAGAAAGGTTTTGGGAATATTGAAGCTCAATAATAAACTCCATCAACTAAAAATATTTTGGCAAATATTGGCTTAGATCCTAGTCTATACTTTTATGGATTTTAGACTAATATTTCGGTGTAAAAGTTCCTTGGCTCCCTGATGAGTTTATCGTATAGCGATATTGTCCATTTTCAATAACAAACTCAATCTTAGACTGTAATAAGATCCCAGCATATACTTTTATGGATATTAGACCAATATTTAAATGTTTTACAAACGGTGTAAAATGTTCCTTGACTCCCTGATGGTTTGTGTCTTCCAAGTGGTGATTTAGCGATCTTGAAAGTGACGGAACTAATAGGGAATCACATTGTTCGCCGGTCTCTGGTAAGATTTTAGGTTGATAGTCATGCTGCACTTAAAGCATTAATATGTCATAGCTATATTCTTGCATGGTCGTAGAATGAAGAAAAGATCTAAGTATTATTATGAGACCGTTTACAATAAGGCTGTGTTGGGTACCAGGACCCTGCAATATACACAAATGAGGTATCTGGCGAACTGACACGATGAGGCTCGAATCTTGTCCCATATGAACGGAACAAGAAGTTAAAGCCACCCTTTTTTCATTTTTTAGGTTGATCTCCGATGGATTCCGTGACTCTTTCAACCATTCATGGAATATAGAATGAATTGCACATTATATATGGCCGTTTTAAAAATACTTGGGGTAGATGGTGTACACCAAGAACACTTGCACTGGCTATAAAACATTATTAAAATACATAAATTTTTCTTAACACAAAATAAATATGTCTAGTAATTTGTTTTTGTTTCATTTGTTTACGTTTTTACAGAAACTCACCACACAACAATCAAAAACAGCTGTTAGGGTTTGCTGTTTTATCAAAAGGTTGTTTTATTAACGGGTATCGAAAAATCTACTTTTTATAATATGCAAAAAGTCGACTTTTAACAAAATCGACTAAGTCGACTTTCGTTTCAACCCTAGAACCCTAGTTTTTTAAATGTTTTCTTATTAAAAAATATCTTTCCTCTTTTCACAGTTGTGCCCAAACCTTGAGAAACTACAAAAGGTCGTTCGAACCTGTTCAAAGGTAGCGGCTGGTACTTTTAGGTATTCAATCTCCCTCCGCTCTAATGTCTTATCGTATTTGTTTAACTTTTCTACTGCTTTTAGTTTGAAAGTTCCGTAATGATTCCCTTCTGAGACGTTCCTTTGGCTGTTTATGTGTAGCTAGTTTTTAAGTAAGAATAAGCAAAAAAAAAAAAAAACATGTACATATATCCTAGTAGAGACCATTAAAACTCAACTGGTAGAGACCATTAAACCTCAACTGTTTATACCCCCGTGGGGACCATTAAACCTCAACTGTATATTCCCTGGTGGAGGCCATTAAAACTCTTCAATTTTTTTTGGTGATGTACCAATTTAAAACTTAAATGTTTAAAGGTTTCCGGCTCCTTATATAAATATATAGGTCGACAGCTGATTCATTACGGAACGGAACGTATAGAACATCGCTAAAGTCAATCCCAGATAGGCCTCTTTTACGTTTCTACTTTGGCACCCATTAAGATAGATCTCAAGAAGTTGCTGGTGTCCAACCTATGATAAATTACAACTGCATATAGCAAACTTATTACGTCAGATAGGTCCTCATATACCTAATCCTTTTACAACTTCTGGCAATGTTGAATTTATTTCTATGTGGTTTCTTGGTGGTAATTTAACATTCTCGGAACTCAGAGACAACCAGAATGTTAAACCCCATTACAAAAAATATTTTAAGAAGGGTAATTAAAGCACCTTTTTTGAGGTGCATCTGATATTTTAATTAGATTTCGAACGAATTCAACATTTTTATCAGTTTTTAATTAAAAACTGTTAAAATTTGTATATAAAAAAATCTTAAAAATAGTCGTAATCGGTCAAAATAATCGGTTATTGGGCCCGATTAATATACTTAAAAATGGAAACTAAAATATTTGATCGAAAATCCATTATTGGCTTTTCATACCATTCACTAATTGTAGCTATACCCAGTGTGGGTATAGCTAGTTATTTCATACCCGGATATTGACATAACGGTTAAATGTGGGGATTCAATACGACTAAATGTAGCATTTTATAATAATGAAGATGACAACTCGTTTCTATTTTAGAAATATATTGTATTTTAGTTAACGGATATCGTGTCGGAGACCTTTCCGCCAGATTATCTTCCCGTATAACGATAAACAAATTGACGGAATTATAAAATCCTACATATTGCCAAGTTATAATTCTAATAATAAAATATTATACCACTTACCATGAATTTATAAAATAATAATAAAAGTGATAATAAAGATGATCTTCCAAAAATTAGTAAATAGTTATATCACACCACAGGTTATATTATGGCTAATTATTAGTGGAACTGTACCTCCTCCAACTTGGCCTAGTAAGCATATGACCACGGGAACTCGTGTTTTACGCTGTCAGACAGCGTCTCTAGAGCTAACAAGAAATTATATTTAGTAAATATATTTATAATTCTAACCCAGGAAGAATTGTATTAGTTCTACAACTAGTTCTAGAACACATGATTTTAGCCTGAACTCGTTCTAGTTTGGCGTTGAGACCAATGATTTTTGTTTAAAATTGTCACCTTCAGAACTGGGTCTGAGGTGACACTCGTTCTTTGGAACGCTTCTGGAAGTAGTTCTTTAATCAATGATTTTTGTTTGAATTTGTCAACCTCGGAACTAGTTCCATAGATGTTTCACAGAACGTATAAACAAATATTGATTGACACACAAACACATACATTTCTTACCGGACGATTTTGCTGAGATACCCCGCCTCTCAGTACCTAATTTTTTTGCTGAGCTCAGCAAATTTCCAATAGAATGACGCAAAATTAAAAAGTTATTATTTGAAAAAACCGACTACATCGTATGATTTTCATATAAGTAATATATCAAGCACAGGGCAACACCAATATTGTTTAAAACTTGTCTTGAATTCACAATGATGACAGGGTGAAAATAAAAAATAGAGGTGTATAAAAAATACATGGTGAATAACAAAATAAATTCAACACAATTTCCGTAATATAATATTTTGTTAATTATTGTTGCCATATAATTGTAAATTAAGAACATTGTTATTTGAACATTTTCAAAATAACAATCGAGATTTTGCTGAAAAAGTTGATGACGACAATTTTGTTGAAAAAGTTGGAAAATAGACAATATAGAAATTAGAGAATTTGATTTCCATATTTCATTTATTAAAATAAATAGTTTTTTTTTTAAAGAATTTATTACATTTATGAATTTATTACGATGTTTTAAAATAAATATATTAATGCTTTATGTTTTTATAATCAACAAGTTTAAATAACAAATGTGTTTTATTTAATATATGTAAATACACACAAACATCAAACAGAGAAAAAACAAAGCGGAAAAAATCGATATTGAAATAAGTTCTAAAAGTCAATAATTCAAAAACTGCAAGTACATAGTCGAGAAGTCATATGTACATATATACATATGTACATTGCAAATGTCGAAAAGTCGACTTTTTGTTTTGACTTCTAAATTCTATATCAAAATGTTGTATGATTATGTATGAGAGAACTTAAAAAGGGAATCCTACATACATACATACATACGTATTTTTACAATTACAGTTAAAAGGTCAATAGAACGTAGTAAGGAAAAGTAAAGAAAACGAACACAAAATAAAAACACTGATAATTGACATTTAGACATATGAGAACAAATGTCAAGTACAATATTAAACAATAGAAAAATAAATAAATAAAAAAACTAACGGTAATATAAAGTTTCAAAACCAGCTGGCAGCCATATTTTATAGAGTAACTGACACACACACACTCAGACGCATACATACTTAAAAAAAGCAAACTGCGTGTTGTTGTAAAAAATCAAGAAAATCAGTAATGAAACATAACTCAAAGATAACGGTCACAAAAACGGAAGAAACAAACGAACGAACAGGGAACGCACGAACTAAGAACATAGGTTCTAAACACAATAACAACAAGCTGCTAAAACAAAGAAAAAACATAACAGATGTAAACTTTTATCAACTGTTGTTGTTTTTGGTGTTGTTGCTTAACTTGGATTTTGTTATATTTCAGTTGAGAAAGGATATGACACACACCACAGAATACAGAAAAAATACGGGAGACATTTACAGTTGTGTTAATGAAAAAATAAGTTAAAGTGAAGAAAGTAAATTTTTATACCAAAGTAACAAAAAAAGGAAAATCAACAAATTTATTAAAAAAAAAAATCATAAATTTCAGTTTTAAACATTACACAATAATAATTTCTGAGTGCTTACCAGAAAACAACGAAATATGTTCTGTTAGTTTTATTAATTTTTCTTTAAAGTTAAGCATATTTTTTGTACAACAAAATGAAATTTTAATAGAAAAAATGTGTATAATTTAAAGGTGACTACAATAATAATTCTATTTATTTATTGTTGTTACTGAGGAAAAGTGAAGGGAAATTTTACAACGAAAAATTATTTTTTATTAAAAAAATCAGTTTAATAGTTTCAAAAACTGTTTTTTAAGTTAAATTAAATTTTTGCTAAACAAAAAAATACACCATATTTTCAACATGAATATAATGAATTCCTTTGGAGGTGGTGATGGAGGTGGTAAGTGTTAATAACAAATGTAAATAAAATGGAAAATAATTAAATTAAATGTCCAACTATTTCATACTATATTAATATATACAATATATTTAATAAAAAAAACAAAAGAAAATATATAAGAAAAAATACTTTTACTCTTTATTATAAATACATACATAACTATGTACAGTATGTATGTGTTTTGTTTTTGCATTTGTTGTGTATGTATAACAGTACTTACGATTTTACTACGTAACGGTTTTTAATGTCAAGCATATGGTCAACTGTCATCAAAGAAGAAATAAAGCAAGAAACAAAACAAAAATAAAAGTTCAGAAAAACATCTACTAGTATGTAGTTGGTGGAGATAGAATTTGTGCTCAGAGAAAGAGTAGAAAAACAAAAGCACAAATACAAACAAATCAAAACAAAAAATACAAATCAGCTGTTATTATTATTTTACTGTTAAATTATTTAGAGATGCCAACAGTTTTCCAAATAATTTTTATTGTTGTATAAAGTATAAAGCCACTAAGGATAAATTATTTGGCCTCGAAATATTCTCGGATTGAGTTCCTGAGTTTAATGGTCCCCTTTACTTACTTAACTTTATATCGTTATTGCAAACGTGGGTCGCCCTTTTTTCGTTTCATACCACCTATTGATTCCTCCCATATGATTTATGGGCTGGGACATGATTCTCCATTCGTCATACGTGTCCAAGACAGCTCAACTTCCGAAATTTAATGAGTTTTACTACACTATGTCCGCATAGAGTTCATATAGCTCATGATTTATCCTAATTCGGAAGGTACCATCGACATTTATTAGGCCATATTTTTCTTTCGAACACTACCAGCGCGGACTTCTTTATTGTCCACGTTTCAGCGCCGTCCATAAGGACAGGCAAGATAAGCGTTTTATAAAGTATTAACTTCGTCTAGACCGCCACTCCAGTTTGTCAAAGGCACCACTTGCTGCCCGCGTGTTGCTGCTAATGATGTCAATGTCATCAGCGTATGCGAGTAGCATGACACTTTTATCGTAATTGATGTCAGTGGTTCTAATTTTTAGAAGATTGAAGAAATCGCACGATAGGATATCGCCTTGTCTAAAACCTCGATTTCCTCACATTATCGTCTTTCCAGTTCCTGTTTCTTACGTCTGAACAAACTGCGCTCATACTTTCTCCTCTTTCTATACCTAGGCACCCAAGCACCTCTGATTGCACTGTTGGGAATCGAGAATTCTTCCTGGATTGTTTATTGTAATTGCAGTTTTGCGATGTTCAGTTTCCTTTTCGTATCTGAACGGTCAATCTTGGGCTTACTGAGGCGTGTCCGTACCTTTGCTGCAACCAGGTAGTGGTCCAAATCAATGTTCAAAGTTCGTAAAGTTCATACGTCCAATATGCTAGATGAATGTCTTCCATCTATCACAACGTGATCAATTTGGTTTTTCGTAATTCTATAATTCGGGATAAGTTTGGTGCTGTTGCCAAGACAACAGATACCCCATAGAGGAGTGACTGTGGGATTAAGAGTTGGAAATGAGTTGGTGTTAAGTGTATATGATACGGAATGAATGTAGGGGTATGCGGACCTTACCCTTCCGAAGTATGAACATTTTATTTTATTGACGCCAGATCATTAATTTCGACCACTGTGTGATTTCAACATATTTAGTTGGAGTCCGTTATTGGTGCACTAATTTGCATCAAGTTATTCTTTATCTGTCAAATTAAACTCATAACACCCTTCCACTGATGTAGGGGATATGTACAAAAATGGAACTGGCAACACTGTCAATATCCATCCCTTGCCGCTGGTTACGTTTTTTATTCTCATTCCGTTACTCTCTTCTTTGAAACAACGGTTTTTTACGACTAGTTTGTAGTTTTTATTTTTGTTTTTCGATTCAAGTGAGTTTATCAACATGTTCTTTTATGTTTTTTTATTCGCTGTGAAAGTCAAGGTTTCATTTATTTGATTTTGACAGTGATTTTTTTATATTCAATTTTTGTTTACAACGCTTATTTTATTATGGTTTAATGTTTTTTCTGTTTTAAGTTGTAAATGTCAGTTTATTTTTCGTTGCTAAAAATTTTCGAATTTCTTTTAATTTTCTTGTAATAGTTCGATGTTAAACGATGGATGACATACATATGCATACATACAAACCTATGTTGTAAATTTGTTGGGTTTGTGTCAAAGAAGGAGAAACGCAAGAAAGTAGTTTAGGATAATAAATGAGCTTTTAATGGGACCATTTTGTTTCGGAAACTTTTTATGTCTTTATGCGCTTTTGTTTTTACTTTTATTTTCATTTATTTTGATTAGAAGTTTAATAAAAAATATTAACCTTAAGATTACTGTGACCTTTTGCAACGTAATAAATTGATTTTGTTACTAAATTGATGGCTTAACAAATATTTAAAATGATGATAACATCCGTTTCTAAAGGTAGAGAATTAATTAAAGAAGTTCCTACTAAATTTATACTTAATTTTTTAAATTGCCATTAAGGATTTTTAACTGGCGGTTTTATATACTTCATCTTCGTCAGAATGTATGTATATATGTATGTATGTTTTCTGAATTCTTATGGATACCAAAGTCGATTTAGCTATATGTTGAATTAACTGCATGTTAAAATCAATTCCGTGAAGATCGCAGACAACTTCCAAATCATAAATAATATTATCAGACTAAGCATATTCGGAGATATCAGAATTTTTGTAAAAAAAAATTTATTTAAATTGAAAAAAATAAGAAAAGTTTTTAAAAATTTCTTATAAAGACTATGTGGGTTCTTATGTAAATAGATTTAGCTATTTTTATGTTTATATTATGATTAGTTTAAATGATTAGTTTATAATTATTTTAATTAATATGACAAATTGGAAGTTTGCAAAAAAGATTGAAAAATTGTAATTATTAAATTTCTATAAATCAATACAGTTAAGCCACGGAATTATTTCCATCAACGTCTATTTATAAAGGGTATGTTTATTTAAATATTAAAACTGTGGATTAAGCCAGTTTTGTAGTAAATGAGTAATATGTATTTGTATCTTAATTTGAAACTATGATAACATTTAATTAATGGTTATTTAAATATGCTAGAATTTCATTCATACATAATAATATAAAATATACTTAATTCGGTTAAACGTTGTCCATTCATATATATTCTTTTAAAATTTTTTGATTGTATGGTGTTATTTACGTAAGGACTTCTTGCTAAAATCACTTTAACTTGTATAAATATTTTAGAAAATATACGAATGATTTCTATTTTAATACAATCGGTTCATTTTCAAAAAATGCTTTAACATCTTTAGCTAATAAAAAAAGGAACAAGTCTGTGGAAATCGAATAAGGATACTTTCATTTGAAGGTTAATTTTAAATTTATCAATACAAGACCTTCATTTGAATTATGGCATTTAATTTAATTATGTCTGTATGTTTGTGTTTGATATACTTATTTCTGTATTTCTTTCTTTATAATTATTAATTTGTCGGCGAGAGAGTTTCTATATACAACTCAATGTCAAATCAAACATGCAAAATATATGTATATTAGGGTGGCCCTAAAGAGGAAGTTGATCATGTTTTCGCCGAAAATAAAAATTTTCCAATAATTTTTGAACTGACATTAGTATTTGGTGGGCTGAATCAAAGGTCCTTTTTTAAGATTAATTCACCATACAATCGGGGTACCCTAATGTACAAACATTTAAACTTCCTGATGACACTGACAATGATTGACATGGGTTAATACCCAGACTATTTACTTTATTATGAATTGTATACGCATATACATATACTAAAAATGTATACAAATATATGAACATTAGGGTGGTCCCAAAATGGAAGAAGTAGCTTATGTTCCTACTTAGTTCATTCTAAGATACCATTTATTATAAAGTTGGTGCTGTTGTCAATATTTGGTAAGCGCACAACAGGCTCGTTGGAGGTCTTGGTGTATTTCTTCGGATTTGATGTAGCAAACATTCTCCTTTCAAACTATGTATGTATTAGATTTGGTTCGATTTTTAATAAATTTATATCAATATTTGTCGTAGAGAGCTAATATGTCCGTAACAAAAATTTAGAATGTGTATTTTGATTGCACTGGTGGTCATTGTTAAATCGACACATACATATTTGTATACTTTGAGTGTAAGTGTACATATGTATGTTTACATGTAGATAGAAATATGTAGATATATACATACATATAATTACATATGGTTGTTTGTAGTAGTAGGATCAATTAGTACGGAATGAAATATCATTAAATAAGGATTAAATTCGATTTCCGTTATATTTTTAAATGTCATTGATAAAAGAATAGAATAATAGACAAAAAACCGCAATACCAAAAAACAAATGCTGTTTTTATATTATTATTTTTTCTTTTCCTTAATAACAGATGTTGAACTTAAAGAGAGACTTATTGCCTGCGTTAAGAAGGAGGTGAAACAGCTGATGGAAGAAGCTGTTACCAAAAAATATATACATGAAGAAAGTAGTTCGATTACATCGTTATGCGGAGCTGTGGAAACATGTCTCAGTCATGGTTTGCGTAGGCGTGCTTTGGGTCTATTCAAAACGTCATCAACAACGGCTCTTATACAGAAAATAGCCAAAACTTGTCCAGAGGCAGACTATGTAAGTCGACGTTTGCTGGAAATCGAAATTGCCATTGAGAGTACGACAGTGGCTGGCAAACGATCTTCCTCGAGTAGCGATAGTATTATTAAGCCTAAACTACTGAGCAAAGGTAGCAGCAGTTCGGTAACAACGATCAATACAGTGTCCATAAACTCTTCGTCGGGTACACCGGTGGTCAAGTGAGTATTACAAGCTTAACGACAGATTTTTCACCCAACGATAGAAAAATGCTATAACAAAGCTCGTTTTACTCACAAGGTATTTGTGGATACGTGTGGCTTTATACGAGAAGCGTTTAGCCAAAATCATAGAACATTTGGTGAGCAATGCTAACAGTTACTATGATCGTGATGCGCTGGTCGCAGATCCCGATTATGGTTCGATATTGAGTTCACTGTTGGTGGGTCCCTGTGCTTTAGAATTTACCAGAGCCAAAACTGCAGATCATTATTGGTCCGATCCTCCGGCTGATGAATTGGTGAGTGAAGTGAAATACATAATTATGGGATTAATTTCCACGTAGATTTTCTTGCAGGTACAAAGACATCGCATAAGTTCAGGCAACCGAACTCCACCCACATGCCATCGTCCCATAATAAATTTCAAGCGTAGCTTACATACCAGTTCTGAAGATACCAGTAGTGGTTCGTTTAAAGCCAGTTCACCAGCGAGTGTAGCTAAAGATTATGTGGAATCACTGCACCAAAACTCACGTACAACATTACTCTATGGCAAAAATAATGTGCTCGTCTTACCGGTAACTTTTAATTCATATTTTTATTACAAACAAATAAAATTTAATCATCTTTGCAGAAAGATGTAAGTGAGCCTATGCCTGGCTACTTAAGTCTTCATCAAACTGTGCAATCGTTAACCATTAAATGGACACCTAATCAGTTAATGAACGGTTATACAGATACCGATGGTAGTGATTTGAGTTCTTATTGGACATATGCGCTCAACATTAATGTAGATGAAATTGTGTATGTTCATTGCCATCAAAATCGTGGCGAAGATACGGGAGGTACCATTATACTGGTTGGTCAAGATGGAGTGCAAAGACCACCTATACATTTTCCAGAGGGTGGTCATTTGCAATCATTTTTAAGTTGTCTAGAAACCGGTCTTTTGCCACACGGTCAATTGGACCCACCATTATGGTCGCAGCGAGGCATTGGCAAAATGTTTCCCTGGCCAAAAAGTGTCAGGCGTCGTATATTACCCTCGGTTATGGAGTCTGCCGATGAAACACCGATTGATTATGTCTTCCGCGTTGTTAGCAAAAGTCAACATGAAGAGTTTTGTAAGTATTTTATAAATTCAATCATTGAAAATAATAATATTATTCTTTTCCTAATAGTGGCTACTCATCCTATATTGGAGTTGGGCCGCACTAGTCCTAGACGAAAACATTTAGGTAGTTGTTCAACCACCGGTAGTAGTGATTGTTCAAGTAAAAGTCTATCGATGGATCAAAGTACTACAGAGCCGCCACTGGTAAGTTTTAAGACAATGAGGAATTTAGATGGACTATTTATAAGGAGTCCCAACTTTGGGGGTTGGGCCAATTTCTAAACAAATTTATTTCTATGAAAAAAGGATTTATGTCCGCTTTTATGTTAATGTCAATATATTTGAATAATTTGTTATTTTATAAAGTGTCCTCTTTAACGATATACAATAAGTTATACATATAAATAAATAACAATTTTAAATTTGCAGATACAGGCAAGCCAAACGGCGAGTATTGAGCTGGTATGTTCTACAATGAGACGTCAAATTATATCCAGGGCATTTTATGGTTGGTTAGCCTATTGCAGACATTTATCAACTGTACGAACGCATTTATCGGGCTTGGTTAATGGTCGAATAACACCTGACTGTAAGTTAATTAAAAATAAAATTAAATTTAGATAGACATTTAAGGATTCTTTCAGTGGCAGCAAATGAATCTGGTTTAACCAGAGAGAAATGGGATGCTTTGCACGAAAATGGAGTCATTAACAGTCAGGAGGAGTTATTCCGTCTAGTATATTTTGGCGGCGTAGTTCATGATATACGCAAAGAAGTTTGGCCATATTTATTGGGCCATTACAGGTACTACTTAAGAGATAAATATTATTAATCGAATTATTTGTGATTAACTTCGTTGACTTTCTTTTTAGCTTTGGCTCCACCATCGAGGAAAGACAAAAACAAGACACCATTAGCAAACATTACTATGAAACTACCATGAGTGAATGGTTGGCTGTGGAGGCTATTGTACGTCAAAGAGAGAAGGAGAAGAATGCAAAGGCTTTGGCAAAAATTTCAGCTGAAAATAAACGTAATGGTATTCATGCTTCTGGTAAGCACGTGTGCCGCCAAACAGAATTGGATGTTGGTGATATGGACAATGATGTCTTCGATGATCAAGATTTCTCTGATATCTCCGATCCAGGAATGGATTTTGATGATGAAATCATGATAGGCATACAGGAAGAAAAAGATTCAGGCAATTGTGAAGATGAAGAAGACCCCCTTGAAGAGCATAATGAAGAAGAATACTTGAAAAAGGAAAGCTTAGGAAAGACAATAATCGAAGAATCTTTAGAGCAAGAACTAGCTGAAGAAATTACGGAGAGTCATCAAGCTAATTTGGAACGAATTTCAGAAGGAGCGACAAAAGAGATTGAGGAAAGCAATGAAATAGAAAATGTGGAGCAAGAAGAGTTGTCTGATATAAAAGAAACAAAATCTTTGAATAACGAACATCTAGACAGTGATAATCCAGGTGATGAGAATGAAGAAGAAAACGAAATTTCAAAACCTAATAAACTAGAGACAGCGACCGAAGTGTCTTCAACTATTAAATGCGAACAAGATAATGTGGTTTTAGAATTAGATGAAAATGAACCACTTTCAATACAAGAACACTGTTTTGCAGAATCTGAGCCGGAACAGGAGGCTGGACTGACACCAGAGCAAGGAGGTTTGTTGCTGTTAAGTATCAAAAGTTCTCCTTCAACATCATCATACGAAACTGTGGGCAATGAATTTACCGAAATGTTAGAAATGGCCCATGACAATGGAATACCTGCAGAAGAAAACACACATGAAGTTGCAGAGCAGCTAGATGTAGCAGAAAATCAAGATAATGGAGTTTCGGAAGAGGAAGAAGAAGCAATGGAAGCATTTGAACTTCACGAAGAAGAACAATATGATGACCGCAACGAAAATGCTGATAGCTCTAATAATGTCCGTAAATATCATAGTGTCGAGGATGTTAGAGAAATGTCGACGATTACCCATGCTGTGATAATCACAGAAGCAGCCTCAAATGATGCCCTAGAATGCACTGATGAACCCACCGAAGATACATCACGTAAAACTAGTTTAATTTCACCCATGAATGAAGATATAACTGTGGTTGCATCATTAGATGCTCTTCAAGAACCCAAATCTGCTTGTGTTTCACCAGCCAGTTCAAATGGCGGTGTCTATAGTGTAAGTAGAATGAGTTTATAATAAAATATTTTGTACTAATCTATTTTTTTACTTTTGTTAAAGTGTGAGTTTTTAGAAAATTTCGCTTTAAATTTGCATCGCATTGAAAAAGATGTTCAGCGCTGTGATCGCAACTATTGGTATTTTGCAAATGAAAATTTGGACAAATTAAGAAATGTTATAACTACGTAAGTTTCAAGTTGAACTTTTGTTAATTTTTTATGGTAATTGTTATTTTATATTTAAAGCTACGTGTGGGAACATTTGGAGGTGGGTTACATGCAGGGCATGTGCGATTTAGTGGCTCCATTATTAGTAATTTTTGACGATGAAGCCCTGACCTACGGCTGTTTTTGTAAACTAATGGAACGCATGATTGAAAATTTTCCCAATGGTGGTGCCATGGATATGCATTTCGCCAACATGAGGTAACTGAACAAAAATGTAAAATTTAATGAGAAATGTAATCTATAATTTTGCAATTTTAAGGTCTCTTATACAAATCTTGGATTCGGAAATGTATGATCTAATGGATTCTAATGGTGATTATACACATTTTTATTTCTGCTATCGCTGGTTCTTATTGGATTTCAAACGCGAATTGGTTTATGATGATGTATTTTCTACTTGGGAAGTAATATGGGCAGCCAAACATGTGGCATCTGGACATTTTGTATTATTTTTGGCATTGGCATTATTGGAAACTTATCGCGATATAATATTGTCCAACAGTATGGATTTTACAGATGTCATTAAGTTTTTCAATGGTAATTTGAAATATATATATATTTTTTTAATTTTTATTTAACATAATTATTTTCTATATATACAGAAATGGCTGAACGTCATAATGCCCAATCAATATTGCAATTGTCGCGTAGTTTAGTATTGCAATTGCAGACAATAATTGAAAATAAATAAATATTTTATTCAACTAGAAGAAGAAGAAAAGCAAATGGGAGGTGAACAAAATTAAAAAAAACTCATTATAATTAATTTTAAAAGTAAAAGTAGTTTATGCAAAAAACAAATAAACAAAAGTAGAACTATAATGCAACAAAAATGTAGATTCAAATCAAGCGCAAACAGCACGAAAACAATAGCGAACAAAACTCAACTAACTCACGTAGTAGAAGCAGACCTGGGCGATTTCCATTAATTTTGCATTAACATTAAATTAAAAAAAAATTAATTTAATGTAAAAAATATTACATTAACATTAAATTTGTAAAATTTAATGCATTAAATTTCCATTAACATTAAATATTTTTGAATTTAATGCATTAATTTTACATTAACATTAAATATTTTTGAAATTAATGCATTAATTTTGCATTAACATTAAATATATCTGAATTTAGTGCATTAATTTTACATTAACATTAAATAAGCAATAAAATTAATGCATTAATATTCCATTAACATTAATATATAAAAAAATTGATAAACATAAATAAAAATACAGCACAAAAGACCTCGATCTAACTAAATACAACTAAAATTAAATAGGTTAAAGTCCTTTCTAATAACTCCTATATTCCATTCAAACTTGTGTGTTTTAAATATGATATTTATATAAGATTCCACAGACAAAATAAACTGAAAAAGGAATATCTGGGAAGTGATACTATTCTTCTAATATGTATTATCGAGTATAGGACTTATTAGAAAACTTTATCAAAATAAACTACAAAAGGAATATCTGGGAAGTCATACTATTTTTCTAATATGTATTATCGAGTATAGGACTTATTAGAAAGGACTTTAACACATTCAATTTTACTTGAATTTAGTTAGACCGAGGTCTTTAGCGCTGTATTCTTATTTTTATAAATTAATGTTAATGGAAAATTAATGCATTAATTTTATTATTTATTATTTAATGTTAATGGAAAATTAATGCATTAAATTCAAAAATATTTAATGTTAATGCAAAATTAATGCATTAATTTCACAAATATTTAATGTTAATGTAAAATTAATGCATTAAATTTAAAAATATTTAATGTTAATGCAAATTTAATGCATTAAATGTACCCATGTTAATGTTAATGCAATAAACTTGCATTAACATTAATTTTTTTTAATGTAGAAAAAATTGTTAATGCATTAACACATTTAATGCATTTATCCCAGGTCTGAGTAGAAGGCATATCACATCACACAACACGACATCACTTGAAATCGAATCAGATTAAATCATACCACATCATGAAATGAATTCAATTGTTCATGTATAATAGCATGTTTTAACCAAAATACAACCAAACTTTAAAGTAACTAAAGTTAATTATCTAAGTGACAAACATTTTGTTTACAAAAGTTTAGCAAACGGCTGGGATTGGATTTTATGTTTTATATACATTTTTAAAATATATCACAAAATTTATCTAGTGAAAGTATTTATTTTCCTATGTTATTAGTTAAAATGCAAAACACCATGTTACCATAGTCAACGTTTTAATAGAAGAATTATAGTAATATTTCTTGAATTTTGACTTTTGATATTATATTATAAATATTATTATTTTTTTAATTATCTAGTTTTGCATTTGAGTTAATCATATAAACTTAAATACATACCTACATACTACTAATTGTTAATATGTATATAAGGCTAGTCAACAAGTTTTATTGTAAATAAACATAATATAAATATTCCCAAATTTTTATCAAATATTGACACTAACATTATTTGGTTTCGAGTTTTCCTAAAAATCGAGTAGCATTCAGAATTCAGAGAAAATTTTGGAGTTAGTGAAAATATAATTTTTTATTAAAGCCTAATAAGGGAACAAGATCCAATGAATCAATTCTAATAGAATTTTTTTCTTCCGTATAATAGTCAATTATAAAATTTAAAGTACTTATGGGAAGGGGACTTTAAGTGGTACTAGCATCAAAAATTTTTATATTTTCATCATAGTTTTTATTACGATTTGTCACAATTCGATTTGTTTTAAGCAGAGTATTTATTATTTGTCATTATTTTTATGTTGGTTTGGGGAACAAAGAGGCGTTTCCCCCTAAAACGCCTGTTTACCGCGGTTTCAAGAAAATTAAGTTCTTTCTAGGTGTGTCATTGATCGACATGTTCGTTTTATACTAAGTTCTTTTTTTTACTAATATTTGAAATATGCAGTTGTTTATTTAATATATACAAATTTGTTGACTAGTTTGATTTAAAAAAATGTTGTGAAAAAAGCTAAATTTATAACATGACAAACTTTTAAGTAAAAAAGAATATTAAAATTTTATACAAAAAAAAAAAAGAAAAGGATATACAAAAGAAAACAGAAAATAAATTGCTCATTTCCTGGTATTTCTTATTAATAATTTAAATAATATCTGAATATTTAAACAAATTTTAATCAAACGCACTGAAGAGTTTGTGATTATAAGGTTTTGGAGCTAATTTCGGGGAATGATCGATTTAAGTACATAGAACACTATACAGAGAAAACAATTTTATTATAACGATAATGTTTTTTATTGCAATTCTGTTGTTATTATTGTATAATTCATCAAGTCAATTGAATGTAAATTCATGTCATATAATTAAAAGTGTTTTCTCAGTGTATTAATGAATACTATTATTATTATTGTTATTGTTTGTTATATACATAATTGTGTAACTACTTTCATACATATAAATGTATAACTAAAAAATATATAATAAAACACGCATACATAAACAATTAAAAATATATGTCAAATCTGTTGCTTTTTTACCAAAATATAAACAAACAAAGTTAAGAATAAAGTATCTGTTAATTATATACAAATACATTTATACATAAATATATTTAAATAGTTATAAAAATACAAAAACTATTAAAAACGAAATTATTATATACATACAAACATATATATACATATATATTTATATACTATATATTACTAATTATATTATATAGAACAAAAGTAAAAGTTATATAAAAAAATATTTATACAACAAGATATTTTGTTTGTGTTTTTTATAAATAAAACCATAAAAACATTTTTTATAAAAAAATGTTAAAACGATTTTCAAAGAAAATTTTTCTACTATTTATTATTAAAAAAAGAAAAAAATACCGAATCTACTTATGTACATACATATATAAAATATTTTCTATAAATTTCTTAGTTTTGTTAAATTATAATATTGTTTTTTAATAATGAAATTTATATATAAAATTTAAAATTTTAAAGAAATTAACATTTTATGCCAAATAATGAAATTAAAACAGTTAAGAAATCATCATTTAAATTCTGTTACGAAAGCGGATACGTATGAGGAATATTTAATTCAATACTATGTAATATCACGTATACTCTTCGTTAATGTAAAATTCTCTGAGTTTGTTATTTCGAAACTTTATTTTTTTTAATATTTGTAATTTTTTAAAATTTTGATAACATTTTAGTAAAAAGCATATTATTGATCGAATCGTGCCGCAATTGAAATATATATTTTCTAGGTCCGGTAATTTTTTGCTGCAGGCATATGGGCAATTTCGTGTTAAGTGACCCAACTTTTAAAATCGATGTCCTCCGATTTGAATGAAATGTCGGATGTCGGTCAAGAACTGCCAGACTTAGAGGGAGTCAAAGTTGGACATTTTGGTCATGCAGGCTTTTAATCAAATGAGTGTAACTTTTCACCTATTAGTCCTAGCAAAAATTGTCCAAAGGAGTTCAGGTAGCTATTTCTTCATTGTTTCCAAAAAAAAAAAAAAAATAATAATAATAAAAAACAAATAAATATTTTTTTGGAAACATTGAAGAAATAGCTATCTGAACTTCTTTGAACAATTTACACCCATTTGAACAAAACCCTGTGTCTGACCTATTATTCAATAGAACTAAGCTTGGTGCAAATTTCATGACATGAAATTATCCATATGTATGTTTAAAAAGTATTTATTTTTGAACCCGAAAAATATTGGTCGGAAATATAGATTTTTCTAATGCTCTAATTCTCGTTATTTTTGGAAATTTTTGCATTATTGCAATAAAATTAAATTTCATTATTATCAGTGTTCATTAAAAACTTGTAATTATATAATTTTCATTTGTAAATTTAACATAATTTAAGAAAAACTACAATAAACATGTCCTAAAAGTTGTGTTTCCGAAGTAATTATATGTTTTTATTTTAATCACTATTAAAGCGGAAATACAACAAATCGCTTATTTGATTGAAGACTGTCATAGTGCAAAAACATGGTATCCAGAAAATTAGAAAATTAATAAAATAAAAACAAAAGCTTTACTTTTTGAAAAAGATAACCCTTAAACTTTAAAAAATATAAACTTTAAAAAAAGGTCAAAGAATTTGGATTTTGAGTTATGGCACTCTTCAACTAAATGAGCTAAATATACATGTGTATATTTCAATATATGTATATGTACATTCCACAAATAAACTATGAGTTTCAATAGTTCTAACGAATAAAACGAATAATAAAGAGTTTCTTAAAAAAATGTAATTTAAATATTATTTCAGTTCAATAGAGTTTTTTATGAGTTGCATTCTACATATATTTACAAAATTAAAATATTATATACATGCATATATTTATAAAAATAGAAATTATATACAATAAATATATATAGATGCATATATACATACATACAAAAAGAAAGATAACAATGTATTCAATACACATACATATAATTACAATACAAAGAAATAAAAAGATTTATCGTACTTTCACAAAGAAAAAAATATATAAAAACTGTAATTAAATAATATATACATACATACAAATATTTATAAAAAATTTATACATATAACCCCACTCATATGTACGTTAAATAAATATATATTTACAAAATAATAATAATAAAAATCATGAAATTAAATACAATAAATTAGTAAACAAACACATACACACATATATAAATATAAAAACTAAATATTATTATATACCTACATACATATGAATGACAGTAAAATAAAAATAGTAAAAAAATAAAATAAATGGAAAATATATGTTATTGTTTATAAAGAAAAAAAAACATGAATGTTGTTTTATTTTCAAAGTGTCGGATTATTAAATGTTAATAGGTACAGGTACAGGTATTACCATCACCACTAAAATACCAATAACGAAATAAGTTTAAATTCCATTATCACTAAAATACCGATATCGTAATAAGCCAAAATAACGATAAATTTCAAAAAATAAATAAATATTTTAAAATGGTTTTGTCCTAAAAAACCTCTCCTATTCCTGTTTCCTATTTTGTTTTTGAG